AACAAAAAAAAACAACAATAAAGTTCTCATATAAACACTGATGCAAATCACAACCATCTATTTGTTCATGTGTCTGTGGGTCAGTAATGTGGGCTGCTGCGCTGGGTGGGCCCACTTGGGCAGACCCATGTAGCAATGCTCATATGATAGCTTAGTGGTGGTTGGGTAGTCTCAGCCTTACATGTCTGGAGCTGTCGGCTGGCATCCGGGGCACCTCAGCTCTCCTTCACCTGGCTTTTCCAGTGGCTAACTCAGCTGTGTTCTATGAGGCAGCAGCATTCTAAGAGGGTAAAAGTGCAATCCAGGTTTCAAGGATCAGAATACATGGTCTACTTCCACCATGGTGGAAATGATTCAACTCCTCAATAGGAGGAGCTACAAAGGATTTGCACACATTTTACACTACTATGATCTGCTCTCTACCATAATCTTTCACATCGTGAAAGTGCTGTCACCCTCACAAGACAACAAGAAGTCACTCAGTCACAGAGAGTGTCATGCTCAAAGTCCACCATCTCGTGATTTGTGTTCTCACACAATGCCTGGTCCCAAATCAGAGCCATGTGTTTCAGGAGACTGATGTCACACTGCCCCACCTTTGATGCTTAATTTCTTTATCAGTTACCCATTGCTGCATAGAAAACCACAGCTAAATTTAGTGGCTTAACACATTGTCTTTGCTTACAATGCTGTGGTCAGGAATTTGGCCTTGGTCCAGCTGGGAAGTAGATCTGCCAGCTTTGCTTGTAGTGGCTCAGGCAGCTTACTCAGGGGTGGGGGCCTAGGAAGGCCTTACTCATGTCTGTGGATTGGTGCTGACTACTGGCTGAGGCACCTCAATTCTTCCCCATGTGGTCCCTCCACCCCATGGGCTCAAGTTTGTTCATACGGTCGCACTCCAGGAGTACACGGGTTACACTAGTGTTAGAGGGAACTGATCTAAGGTGACTGTTATAAGTCAGTCACCTTAGATCATAAGATCAGGCCAAATTCAAACAGGACCCATCTCTTGATCGGAAGTGTGACAGGCATGTAAGACTACTGAATGTGCCATGCCATTAGCTCTGCTTCTAGGGTCTGTTTTATCCCTTGGATTTTAGTCTTTCTGTGTATCAAAAAAAAAAAAAAAAAATGTAGAGGCTTAATGCTATTGTTTCTATTGCAAATTGGATTTTCTTCTAGTGTGTAAAAAGTCATGGGCAGACCAGCTTACTACAGTCAAGGCTCGAGGCTACAAGAGTCTCAACCAAAAACTTGGGATGTCAATGGGCCCCCATCCTAGCTAGATCAAATCCCTAAGGATGCTCTCCTCAGGGGCATGAGCTAGCTGAGTTATCTGCTTCACTTTTCACCCTCTTCACAGCTGCCTCTGCTCAGTTCTCAGACCTCACCATCTGTACAGCTTGGCAACCCACAGATGCTTCTGGGGAAACACTGTTGTCCCTGGTATTCATGTCCCACACAATACTCTACAGAGGAAACACAGCCTTCAGTGTCCAGTCTCTCTGAGGCCATATCCTTTATGTCTGTCCTTCTCCTCAGCCTTCCAGAAGTGTCTGTTGTCACCGTTGATGCTAAGCGTAGTTGTGACAGGGATCTCCAATGGGAGATGGGTCTGTGTGAGTTTCATAGGCAGAAGGACACTTCCACAGTTTCCACATGGTCATGTTTGCTTCTAGTCTTTTTTTCTATACAGGTACATGCCAAATCTCCTGTTCCCTTTGCCAGTGATATTCCTCAAAGGACCTTCATTCCTAGAAAGCACTTTAGAGACAAATCCATGCAATACTTTGAGCACAACTCAAATTCCCTTGCTAACTTGTGCACCCTAGCCTTCTCCAAATGCTTGTACCCCACACACTCCCCTGACCCAGGAGGAGCCTGAAGTAAGAGAGCTTCCCCTGTTAAGGAGCTTCCCCTGACTGCCACAAGTTAGAGGCACAACCTTTGTAGACCAAGGACCTAGAACCCCTTTTCCCATTGTAAGTAACAAAATAAGGAGAGAATCCCTTTTCCCATCCATGGGTAAGGCAAACCTTTCACTGGCAAAACCCTTTATCCCCACCTTCCCTGGATCCCCGCCAGAACTGGGTCTTACAGGCCTCCACCCAACTGGGGCCAACCATTCTTGTTCTCAGAGGGTTCCGTCCACCTGCAGCAAGGGCACCAGAACCTCTGACGGTGTGGTGGGGATGGCAGACACATGTAACCACTCATGCCTTCCTCTCCTTCTCCAATACAGGCTGCGAGAGCACCACCGGGCCACCATCAAGGTCATCCGGCGCATGCAGTACTTTGTGGCCAAGAAGAAATTCCAGGTGAGTCCTGGAAGAATCCATCCATACTCCCACACCCCTTTGCAACCCCTGTGGCACCACAAGCCCCTTGGGCTTCCCTACCTAGGAGGGAGGCCACTCAGGCAGACCTGTCCAGGATCAACCCCTCACCTTCCAACGTCCCGTGAAAACAGTGCCATTCCTAGGAAGCCTCCTCTCCCCAAGAGAACAGGCCCCTTGGAGGATACTTCCTTAAAGCCCGGTTTAAGCACCCTTCTTCCTCACTAATCAAGGGCAGCAGTCTCATGGGCTCACCATACCCTGCTATGGGTCACACAAGCTTGCATAAGTGACAGATAGGCAGATGCCATCAGAATGACCAGAGAGGGCCCCAGGTACCTGGGGAAGGAAGTGAAGCTATCCTTGGCCAGCACAGTGCTCCTGCTCTCCCTGCCACTACCCCCAGCCCATGTGGTCAGGAGGGGGAGAGGATTCCTGACTGGGCAGGGCTGCAGCTCTGGGCTTCTAGTAGCCCTCAACAGCCCCTCCTGAGCCTGCAACATCCAAGGCCTGTAAGGGATGGCCGTGGTGGCAGGCAGGACTCCTCTCCTGCAGGGACAGCCCTCCAATAGAGGCCATGGGGAGGGGGAGACTTCATCTTTACTTTGAGAACAGTATGTAGCTATAGGAAACAGGTACCCTTGAGGGGAGAGGTCATCCTTTTTCCAGAAGACCCTCATCACCAACCTGGAGGATTATCTACCTGAGTTCCTCACCAAATATATGGTGGCCCTGCACCCAGCTCCAGGTGACTCCTGTACCAGGCTGTGAGGTTGAGACAGACCAGCTGACGGTCCCCTCAGTACAGCCCTACCCTGGGCCCTGGGACAGCCACCCACAGCCTCTAGACTCCATGAGCATTTTGGACAAAGGATTCCCCATGCAACCCTGAGTGAGTTTATTCCCGTCTGTACTGACAGTAGGAGCCCATGGCATTGGTATCACCTCATGCACACCCGTTTCATCCATCCTTGTTCACAACAGTCTCCTGTAGCAGCAACTGCCACCACTATCACCATCACGAGCCCTGAGAGTAGACCCTGCCTGTGTGGGCCTAGTGCTTGCCCACCGCTGAGCTCCCCCCACTAGCAGAGTAGCATGTGGCCCCTCCCTAGTCGCCAACCACCTCGAAGGTCAGCTAGCACATAGCAGTACTGTAGTGGCTATTAGGACTCAGCTGGACCACACTGCCCACACTCTCACCGGCCCTGGGGCTGCTCTTTGTGGAAACAAATAAAAGCTCCTCTCAGCCGGCACCAGGAAGTCTGCCCAGTGACGTCCTGGGGACATCTGGTAACCCTGTGGATAGGGCATCTGGACACTGTGCCCCCCACCCCCAGCCCTTGTGGAGGCCCTACCTGTCACCGTGGCTACTGGGTGGGAGTTGACACAGAGCATGGGGGCTGCCTGCTGGCTGTACAAGTGGGAAAGGAGCTACAGGAACCCTTTGGGGTGAAGCATGGCAGGACTGTCCCCAAGGGGAAAGGACCTGGTGTGTCTTCCTTGCTGGGGAACAGCTTGGCAGTGACAGCTAAAACCCCCATTGATGTTACCCCAGTGAAGCAGAGGGTCACGAGGGATCTCCAGGGTCACAATCATCCCCAGCCTGAGATAGTGGCTCCCTGTAGGCACACAGCAGCACCCCTGACACGGAACAACCTGGAACTTGCTCAGACTTGTAGGACTGTGCTAGGGTGGATGCTGGTCTCCCTAGGAGTTGCTTCCACGACCCAGGGACACCTAACCAAAGACAGAGACCCTCATGTTTCCCAATTCAAGCCAATAGATCAACCACAGCGACCCACACAGACTTGTCACTGTGACACAGACAAGAAAACTGCCTGCTGGCATGGGTGCAAATTCTGGAGGAAGACTTCCAGGCTAGGGTCCCCTGTTCTGCTGCAGTCCTAACAGTGGCCCAGGAAGTTTCCAGAGCATGGCAGAAACTTTTGCCTCCCTACCCTGCATCTCCTCAGTGTCCCAGGATGGGAGAATCATGAATAAACTAGGCAGCAGATGACCTTTTGGGGATAGAGGATTCTGAGCAAGGACAGAGGCTGGGGTTCCCTCTAGGAACTAGCTCTTGTTGCCTGGGGGGGTTACATGGAGGGGTGGGAAGCAGGAGGTCCCCAGAGAGCAGGAATGAGTAGGGTGAGGGGGTAGAGCCTTTGGCAGGGAGGGGTTTATGGGGCCCCAGCTCTTAAGGCGTCCTCACTTCCTGACATCGGCCTATCTGCCCACCTATACCCTCTCCACCCCAACTGGCCTTGGGCTGCCAGCATGGTGAATGGCTCCCCTGTCTCCCTTGCTGGCAGATCAGTCCCTGACCTGCACCCCAAGAAGCCCGAGTCTCTTAGGCCATCAAGTTTGTCTTGAATAATCCCCATCCACAGTCAGTCAGGCTGGATAGGCCAGCTCATCTCTGGGTCCCACTGTAATAGGAATCCTAGCTCTGGAGGAAAAACCAAGGTGATCTCTCCAGCCAGGACCCAGGCAGACACTTCACTGAGGCTTCACCAGCCCTGACCAGAACCTGGCAGGGAGCTGGGTGAATCCAAAATAATCTCAACAACCTGGATACTGTAGTGAGTCTGGGGGGAACTTCTGTCCTTCCTGGCCTTTGGCCTGCTCACCCCACCCAGGTTTCTGTAGAAATGCCCTCTCTCATCATATAAGGCATACTAAATCACATGTCAGCAGAGACTTCTAACACACATACCCGCACACACGTGGATGCAACGGCCTCTGGCTCCAAGGCTATCAGGGGCCAATAGAAGCATCTGTCCACCCCAGCCCAGGTCTGTACCACCTTAAGCCGTGGCCCAGCTTGTTCCAATGCCCCTCTCCCTCACCTATCCCATGCCTCACTTTGAACTCCCCAGTAGAAGGCAGTGACCCCAGCTCATGATGATGGTGCTCTCTGAGTGCTGAAGGATGCACCCCGCTCTTCCATGGGTCTTTGGAGCAGAGTGCTCTGCTCTCCCCATGGCTCCCAGACCATCAAACACTGCTTGGCCTAGCTGCTGCTCTCTCAGGAGACCCTTACTCAAGGCCCCCGAGAACAAGGCCTTATGAGAATCAGCCTGATTGTGAGAAGTTTAATCTTCTCTATTGTGGTCTTTGCTAATGTCACCATCTGGACCTGGGCCCCACAAATGGGGTCAGAGCTGGCATAAGACTTGGGAACTCTATGGTCACCTGCCCTGCCCCATATGGCCTCAGGCCTACTGTGGGACCCCCAGCAGGTATCTGCCACCTCCCTCCTCTGCAAACATAGGGGCTGCTGTCCAAAAGTGTGTCCAGGATCAGCCTCGGATACAGGCAGAGAGGGGATGTGGAGAGCTGTGTTTCCCACACAGTGGGTCAGCTCTTCCTGAGGCTGAAACTAAGGGGCTAGTATCCTGGAACAAAAACAGCAGGTCCTGACAGTACAAGGTAAGAGGACTGCAAGGACTCCCAAGGTCAGAATGACACTTCAGAGACTCCAGAGACTAAGCCAATGGTTAGGGATCTGTAGAGGATGAACTGACAATGCAGGGCCTCAGAGGCCAAGCTGATGGCCTAGGGGACCCCAAAAGGGTGAGCTTATAGCCCAGGACCTCCAAGAGGCTCAACTGATGGTCAAGGATTCCCCAGCCTATGGTAGCCAAGCCATGGAGACAAGCTCTGCTGCACATGTACTCTGGGGCCAGGCCTGCCCTATGGCTGTCCACATCACTGTCTGCATTTAGAGCTGAGCCTGCAGGACACGGGGGAGTGACGCGTGTCTTTCTGGCCTGCAGCAAGCACGGAAGCCCTATGACGTGCGGGATGTCATCGAGCAGTACTCTCAGGGCCACCTCAACCTCATGGTGCGAATCAAAGAGCTGCAGCGAAGGTGGGCACAGGTGGAGTGTGGGGACATGGGTACCTGGGGGCCACCATGGTATATTCATTCCAGCTGGCCCTGCTCTAGCCTCACAGTGGGCATTGTCTGCTCCAGCCTTGGCTGAGCTGAGGGAGAGAAAGAACCTTGAGTTGTCCCCAAGACCTACCTCCCAAGTCTCACCCATTCAGGGGTCTGACCCCCTATGGCTCTACCCACTGCTGAGTCTGTAGGTAGGGACTCTGACCATTGGGAAGCAGCATATTCTAGAATTCTGGCTTGGATCCTTGTCCCCTTGGAAATGGCCTAGTCCTTGGGATCCATGGTGGGCTAGCCTGGGAACCTAGTTCCATGTGTTACAGGTTACCCAGTCCTAGCCACAAGTGGGGCCAGGCATTTAGGGCCTCCTCCATGGCTGACCCCACTTGCCCCAACCAGGGAAGAGGTCTAAAAGATGATGTAGGTGCTACCCCTCATCCCTGAGCTTCCTGCTGGTCCTTTTAGGTATATGAGCTCCTGTGGCCCAGGAACCTCCTGCAGGTCCTGGGGGTCAGTGCTATGTGGCCCCCAGTTGGGTGGGCAGATCTGCCTGTCCAATGGTACCTGGGGCTGGGTATGAGCTATTCTCCATCTCCTTCCCTTTCAGGTTGGACCAGTCCATTGGGAAGCCCTCCCTGTTCATCCCCATCTCAGGTGGGTTCTGCCTGGGGCTAGACATGGCAGTCCATGCTGGCCTCTCTCACCTCTTTCCTCTTCTCACCATCAGAGCAGGCATTAGGGCCTCCACAGTGTATGATGTGCAGCAAAATCAGGCAGAGGGGCAGACAGATGCCACCCTGAGGAAGGTAGCCAGGGCCATACTTTAGCAAAGAATTTGCAGGTTATTTGAGGATCCCCTTTGGTCTCTGAATGACAGATTTCTGAACATGGAAATCAGGCTCTGGGTGTGGAAGTGTGACCTGAAGGCTACCTTTGCAGGAGGGGTCTTAGTGCTGCAGGGCCCTGGGCTAGGGTCTAGGTAGAGTGAGCAATCACCCCCGGTCTGGGGCTGTTGGCGTGGACTCTGGTTTGGAGGAGGCAGCCCTGTGCATGCCAGTTTTCTGGCTTGGCCCAGCTCCTCAGGTCCTCTAGGCAGAGTCTGAGTCATGCCAGGGAAGGATGGGGGAGGTTCGTTCTTTGGAGGACCCTGGCCAAGGTTCTAATAGAACCTCACAGCACAGGCTCATGTGGCAGGGCTGCTGGCCAGCAGGATTCCCTGGCCTGGCGCAGGGCCCAGTGTCATGAATCTGCACAGCAGGCAGCCCTGGGCCAGGTGTATCCCACCCCACCTGACAGCCCCCAGAGATCCCCAGAGGTCTCCAAGCTGGGGCACAGGGACAGAACCAAGGTCTACACTGTCCCCCCAATGGACTACTGCCTAATGTCCCCCCACCAGGAGAGCACTTTAGAAGATGGGCATTGTGGCACACACCTGTAATTCCTGCACTCTGGGAGATTAAGGCAGAAGGATCGCATGTTTGAGCCCAGCCTAAGTAACTCAGCAGGACCCTGTCTCAAAATTTGAAAAATTCAAAAATGGCCTGGCATGTAGCTCAGTGGGAAGGACCTGGATTCAATCCCCAGTATCAGAAAGAAAGAAAAGAAAAGAAAAGAAAAGAAAAGAAAAGAAAAGAAAAGAAAAGAAAAGAAAAAAGAAAAGAAAAGAAAAGAAAAGAAAGAAGGAAGGAAGGAAGGAAGGAAGGAAGGAAGGAAGAAAGAAAGAGAAAGAAAGAAAGAAAGAAAGAAAGAAAGAAAGAAAGAAAGAAAGAAAGAAAGAAAGAAAGAAAGAAAGAAAGAACAAAAACAAATGGCCTTGTAAGTTCAGGCCTGTTGACCCTTAGCTAACTCCCCCTGGCCATTCTGCTCCCTAAGTCAGTCAGGGATCACCTCCCCTCCCAACACACATCCCTGATATCAGTGCTTTACCCCTCCAGAAAAGAGCAAGGACCGTGGCAGCAACTCGATCGGTGCCCGCCTGAACCGGGTGGAAGACAAGGTAGGCTCGAGCATCTGGCCCAGTGGGCCAGCGTGGTCAGCGTCCTCAGGGCCAGCTCAGTGGCCCTGAGGGCAGTTTCTCACTCGCCTACTCTTTCTTGAGTGTGTATTAGACAGGGCCACAGGATGTGTGGGCCCCTCCTTCCTTCCAAGTTCACTGTGGCCCACACATCCCTTCCCTACTTGGGGCTTAGCCACCTGGCTGGGTATCTATTCCCCCGAGAAGGGGCCTGGCCAGGCTGGTTTCTGGTCCTCTGATAACTGGTGACTTTAAAGGCATGGTGCCTGCCAATCTCTCCCTGGAGTCCTCAAGACCCTCCATTGCCATAAGGAAATCAGGCGCCTTTCTGCTGGCTGCTTTCACCTGGCTAACCCAGGCCTATAGTCCTGCCTCTGTCCTGAGTGGAGGGACTGAGACATTGAGGCTGGCACACTGGGCCCTCCTCATGACCCACTCTGTCCTGCCACCTCCTCTGTCTTCTGACTGCACCTTGAGTGGGGGGTGGAGATAGTAGCCTGGTATTTGGCTTCCTGTAGGTCCAGCTGTCTGAAGCCTTTGCTTTGGGCAGGCCAGGGCTCAGGGGACTCAGCCTGGCTGGGGACTGGTTCATGGGAAGGGGCGCTTTCTGCTTATCTTGGACCCGACTGTACTGGGGAGGGCTCAGCTCAGGATGGGATGATGGGTTGTCCCGGCCCCACCCTGTCAGGCCACATTCAACCTCCACCAGAGGGTCTTAACTAGGGTCACAGGTGTCCAGGTAGGATGCAGCACCTCTGGCAGCTCCTCTGTGGCCTGGCTGCCCTCTGCTCCCAAATGCCAGGGCCTAAATTGGCTGGGCCACAGGGATGCCCTACTGCCTGCCAAGCTTACCCACTGTCACCAGCCTCTCAGCGCAGAACTTCTACACAGGGTGGCCCAGGAGCCACAGGAGTTTCTGGACCCAGGGAGGCCCTTTTTCAGGGTAGGCCCAACCCACTGCTGCCCTTTGAAGTCTGTGGTTTGAGGCGGGCTTTTATCTTGCTGGGCAGCTCGTCTGTCTACATGGATTTTATCTGAAGTTACTGAGTGGCTAAAAATAGAGGAATTTCAGTTGGGCAGGGAGTGCTGCCTGCCGTGCTGGGTTGCCCAGCAACACCCAGCCCTGGCTCACTTCCAGTTGCTGCAGTGGGGCAGGTGGGCCTGGCTGGCCCCACGCAGGAGTGGCTCTGTTTCTGCTTTGCCCAACCTGGCCCCGGGTGAAGCCTCCCCTCCCCACCTGCACAAACTGCCCCTAGCGCATGATGGCCATGTTTCCCTAGAGCAGTAAAGGAATCAAGCAGAGGAAGGGCAGGCTGGGCTCCAGGTGCCTGAGACCCTAACTTTGGGCCTGGCCTGCTTGGCAGTATGTCCCCACACCTGGGCCCCACAGGAGGACCTGAGCAGGCCTGAGCAGGGTGGTATCATGGCCTTTGCCAAGGTAAGTGACACAGCAGGAGTTGGTGCCCACCTGTCAAGGTGGAACCAGAGGCCCAGGAGTCATCAGCTCACAAGATCAGGTTCAGCAGCCTGTAGGCCTGGTCTCTGCACTCTGAGAACAAGGATGACCTTGGCTTTCCTCTTTGCACATGAACCCAGTGACTGGAGGCTGGTGCACCAGAGTAGCAGGACTCCTCCCTGTGCTGAGTGCAGGCCGGGCATGTCTAGACAGCAAAGGAAGTTGTGAAAGAGCCACAGCATAATCCCCAGCTCCCAACTCTACCTCCTCACTCAGCCCATGTGTGTCCCTGGTCAAGGCAGCTCTGCTGTCTCCCATCACTGGCCCGCATCGTGATGGCCTCTCTCTGACAGCACAGACTGAGATATGTAAACCCACCCACCCACCCCTAGAAGCTCTGTGAGCAGCCCCCACTGCCATTCCCTCACTACCTGCAGTATCCTGCCAGGTCTAGTTCTAATCCCCTCCCTGACTTCCAAGGCCTTTCTTATGGCTCTGCCCACTGCCCTGTGGATCACTGACCCCTCCCCTGAAGCTAAGACCAGGAACCTGGTGTCCTCTGAGGGAGGACAATGGGTGGCAGACAGTATCTCCTGAAAAGTGCCCCCTCTTCTCAGGCTTTAGTCATGGCCATCTGTGGCCTACTGGTGTCTGAAACCAAGGTCAGTGTGGTGGGCAAAGGTGGGTCAGCACTGGCCTCGGGCGACAGAATTACATCCCTGCGTTTCATCAGCTCTGACACACAAAGGCCCGTGTTTTCAGGAGTCTCTGGTCCTTGCAGGCAAGGCACAGGGACAAAGCTGGAACCAAATGACAAAGCCCTCAGCCTCAGCACTGCCAGACTCTAGGTCAGGGTTGCCAGGGTGCTGGGAGAATCTGCAGCAGGGGGCTTCCCGGACACTTCTTTTCTGCCCCCGCCCCCTGTCTGACTTGGACCCAAGCTGTTCGTCAAGGGGCCATTGGAGATGCACTGACCCGAGTGGCGGCAGCTTCTGGCAGCATTGCCTCCACCCATGGCAGCCTGCCCAGCCCCTCTTCTTCCAATGACTGCTTCCCCCATAGGGACAGACCCTGGGAAAGGGCTTCTCTGGGCCCAAAGGACACAGTGGCATGGCCTGGGCCTCACATTATCGCAGTTATCAATGTAGCCATCGGGACCATAAACAACCCAAGTGCAATCCTGCTGACCTCAGGAAGCAGGGGACAGGAAATCCCTCAGAGACTGGCGGGCCCACAGCAGATTCAGTGCCCGCCTGGCCAGCCAACTCCAGCCAGAGTCCCTGGGCCTTCCCCACCCAACCCTCCCCTCACTTCCCATCCGCCAAGCTGGACATGGGGCCAAGGCAGTCAAGGCTGCAGCCCCCAGATCCTCACTCTTGAAGTGAGTCATTTCCCAGGCTGGATTATCCAGCTGCTGGACCAGGACCCAAGGGAAGCAGAGAATGGGCCTTGGAGACTTGCAACCAGCTACCCCCCACTTTCGGGAGGGGATCATTCTGAGGGCCAGGGCAGCTTCACTTGTCCACTTGCAGGGAGTCACCCAAAGAAGCCCATTGAGCTTATCCAGGGCTGCCTCAGTTTCCCTGATAGGGGGCCCCCTCCACCCTTATGTCTGGGCCAGGGACCCACCCAGGAGAGAGGGGCCCTATGGACTCCCTTGCAAAGACTCCAGAGTTGTGTGAAACTCTTGCTCAGCAGTGGGCCATCTCTGCTCCAATTCAGAGCCCTCTGCTTATCCTGCAGGATGGCCCCATCTCTGAGACACTGACTACCTCTGCATCTGGCCTGGCCACAGGCTAAGACTTATGTTCCCATGTACACCCTTAAACTCAAGAACCTCCTCAAATCTCAGACCTGCTCCCAGCTGCCCTCCCTCTACTGTCAAATGACAGGCTTGAACTGTTGGTGTGCTCATGTTTAAAAATCCACAAGCTGCTTCATACTCTTTCAGCTTTCAACTTATATTGTTATCTTCTTTATTTTGAAGAGGGTTCTTATTTGCCCAAATAAATTCCCTCTCATAGGTGGGTAACTAAAGCCAAAGAAGTTTCTCGGTCACCTGAGTGTACACAGCTAGTGAGGCAAACAGCTGGACTCCAAGGCCGTATGCAAGGGTAGGCAGAGCTGAAGTGGAGAGGGATGGCAGGAATGAGAAAGTATTCATAAACATAAGGGTTCCTTTGAGAAGAGGCTGGGGCCAACACGGAGGGTCAAGGCTAGGGGAGTGCAGTGGTGGTCACGGGGAGGGACTGTCAGGCAGGTGCAGGTTGCCTGTCATCCAGCCGCAGGATTTGAAAGAGCACCTACAAATGGCCCCTACTGGGCCTTCCCCTTCTCTCTGAGGAGCCCACTAAGCAAGCCATGCCCATCTTCCTCCTAACCTGCATTCTCAGATTTTCCCAGGCCTGCCATGGTGTTTATGTTGGGCCTTGTTTATTTTGCAATCGAAGTTCAGGCTGCTATGCTGATATGAGCAGCACAGAAGGCTGGGAGATTTTCTTTCTTCTCTGTTTTTGCGGGAAATGTTCATGGCTTAGAGCAGAACATAGGAGTGCTGGGTTTCCAGGCCCCAGTTCAGAGAGCATCTAGTGGGGAGCCAGCACCCACACACATCCCTTGCACCTAACTCTGACTCCCTTACCACTAGCTGTCCACTGCGCTGTGCACCCAATGTGAAGTCTACCCTAGACACTGCCACTCTGCCCCTCATCCCAGATACAGTCCTCTGCCCATCATGCTTACAAGCTAAACAGCAGGCTTTGCCATCTCCGCCAGCTCCTCTGCGTTGCCCCAAAAGCTGCCTCAATGCTGCTCATCCTTGTTCTCCAGCCCTATGTCCTGCTGAGTCTAGGCTTTTATCTTCTCTCGCTTGGATTATTTATCTAGCCATCACTGCAGACTCCAGGTCCTCACATTGTATATTATTTCTTAAACATTGCCGAAGTCCATTTGCTAATGTTTTGTTCAGAACTTCTGCATCAATACTTCTGTGTGAGATTCATGCACAACACAGCTTCCCTCTCTTACCCTGTCCTCATCAGGTTTTAGTTATACATTCATGGGACCCTCACACACTAAGATAAGAAGTGTTCCCTCTTTTAGTACATACTGGGATATTTTGTGTAAGATTAGAATATTTTTTTTCACTTGAATGTTCGGTGGAACTTAGAGGCAAAGCCATCTAGGCCTGCTGTTCTCTTTGTAAGAAGATTGTTAATTATTCAGTGGCTCTAAGGGTTATTGGCTGTTTTGGTTTTCTGTTTCTTCTTATGTCAGTTTTGAAAACTGGTATATTTGAGGAATTTATATGTTTTATCTTAGCTTTCAAATTTATTGGCATTTATTACTTTGATGTCTATAGCATCAGTATTTTGCCCTCTTTTTATCCCCTACATTATTTGTGTCTTTACTGTTTTTCCTCAATGGTCAGCAAGGCTTGCAGCTAATCACCAATTTTATTAATATTTCCATCCAACGTTTGGCTTTGTTGATCCTCTGCTGTAGCTTTTATTTTGTTTCATTCATT